GTGCACGCTGCTCCGGGGGGATCTGGTGGCGGCGGCCGGCGGGTCGGCCGGCGCCGTGAAGATGGTCCCCAGTGGTGCGTGTGTTTCTTCTCTTTTTTTTTTCGCATGTGTCCTGCTGGCTGACCGCCCGCCCCCCCGGCACAGACTCGGCCTTCCGGACGCAATTCGAGCCGCTCCTGGACCAGGAGATCGCCATTCTGAGCCTGCTGCTGGCCGACGGCGGGTCGGCCTTCGTGTGCCGGCTGGTCGGGTACTCCACCACACCGCACCGGGCCCTGGTGATGCCGCACTACCCGGGGGTGCTGTCGAGCCTGCTATGGCCGTCGTCGCTGGCCCCGGCACAGATCCTCGGCCTGGCGGCGGACATCGGTGCGTCGCTCCTTTCCCCCGCGCCCCGTCCGGCATGTCGGTCACTGACCTTCCCCGCCCGCCCATAGCCGCCGGGGTGGCCTTCATCCACGCGCACGGCGTGGTGCACAAGGACCTGAAGCCGGAGAATGTGTTTGTCCGGCCGGACCCGGCGGACCCGTCACGCCTGCAGCCGGTCATCGGGGACTTCGGCGTGGCCCTGGTGCTGAACCGGTTCTCGGTGATCCCGACGCTGGGGGACGTGGCGGCCGGCAGTCTGGCGTACGCCCCGCCGGAGACGCTGGCCCGGCTGCACGGGCTGCCCTTCGCCCTGGCCCCGCCGGACAGCAGCGTGGTGTCCCTGCTGAAGGTGGACATCTACTCGCTGGGCGTACTGCTCTTCAGCCTGGTGGCCGCGGCTCGGCCCTGGTCCGGTGCGTGTTCTGCTTTGTCCCCCGTGTGTGGGCCCCCTCTCTGCTCATCTCGCCCCGACCACTGACCGACCCACTACCCATGCGCCGCAGGCACCCCGCAAGCGGATATCCTGCGCGCGGTGCTGGACGGCAAGCGGCCGGATGTGGCCCCGGGCACCGGGGCCCCGGTGCGGCTGGCCGATGCGGCCAGTGCCGCGCCCTGGCTGGCGGCCTTCCAACAAGCCTACCGGCAGGCGTGGGCGGCGGACCCGCGCGAGCGCCCGGGCGCCGCGGCCCTGGCCGCCACGCTGGCCGACTTGGCGACAGGTTCCCCCTAAGCCGGCTACCCAATACACCTTTGACTATGACCTCCCGCCTGGCGGAGCATTGTGTGTGTGCCGCTCGTCGTGTTCGAGCGGTGCGAGCCCCGGAGGCCGCCCCCTCCGTCGGATGTGCCACCCGCCGCCATGCCAAAGGGGGGTCGCATTCCGCGAGCCCATCCCGGCGAATGCAAAAAAAGCAGGCAGGTCCATGGGCTCGGGCATCCGGGCGCCACGAACGCGCGCCCGCTGGCATGGGCTTCGCGCGGCGCGGCTTTCTCCGCCCCCTCTCTCTGCTCATATTCATCGTTCAGGCCCCCCTTTCTCCGGGGCGTGTTTTCCCTTCTCTCTGGGGGCGCGCGGCGCAGGCGGGAGGTGCGTGGGGCTGGGCGGCCGAGGGAAAATAGCTGGAGGCGGAGGGTATCGATCCCCCTGCCTGCCGCATGCTAAGCGGCCGCTCTACCATTTGAGCTACGCCCCCGGGCGAAGTGCCCCCATGTGCCCGGGGTATTTGATCGTGCCGATTGGCCGGTCAGCCGGCAACAATGGCTGCCCTCTTGTCGGTGCGCGCGCGCGCGCGCGGCCGCTTGCCGCAGGAGCCGAGCCACCCGGGGCGCAGCGACCGGCCGGCAATGCGCCCCGCCGTGATGGCGCCGCCAGAGTCCCGCCCTCGGGGCAGCCCGCTCGCTTGGCACCGGGGAACGCCTCGCCGGCTCCTGGTCGGGGCGGGGGGCGCTCTCCGCCAGGATGTTCGGCCTGCTGTTCGGGGCCCGACCGAGGGGAAGGTGTTCGCCCGGTGCGAGTGTCGTCCAACTCGGCATCCACCAGGGGCACATAGATGCGGGGGGCCATCTGTGGTGCGCGGCCGCGCATGCCAGGCACCCATCCCATGCAAGCGCGCACGTGCACACCTACGCACACGCCAGCCTGCCCGCCTGCCCGCCTTTGCACGACGGAAGGACGGGCGGTGGCGTGCGGCCGTGTCGCAAGAAGAACCCAGCCAAGGCTACCGGCATCATGACCCGACTCACGCCCGCTGCCTCCCCGGCTCCGCATGGCCAGGCCGCATGTGCAAACGGCGCTCCCACCCGGGAGGGGGACACACCATGGCACATCCGCCTGAGTACACGCCCCCCGGGCCACTGGCCATGCTGACAGACTGTGCCCATGGCGGACAGCGGCTCAGGAAGGCCGACGTGCACACCTGCAGCCGGGAGGTCTCAGATGCCAGGGCGCGCCGGCAGCCCGAAAACCAGCGAGGTCCATGCGCCGGTCCGGCTCCCCGCGGCTGGCAGGGGCGCGGTCGCCGATGGGCAGGGTCCGAGGTGCGGGGCACCCGAGACAGGCCTCCCGGCGGGCATTCCCCTTGTACGGGCTTGACAGCCGTCGAGGCGTGCGAGCGCGCGCGCGCACACACGTACACATGCGCACACACACACACGCACACAAAGACATTTTCCCCCGGTCCTTCGGCGGACAGGACAGCGCATCACTCGCACACATGGCCGCCAGCCTGGCATGAGGCAGCCACAGCCGGTCCGGCGGGCACCCGACACCATGGCCATGGCGCCTGGGGAGCCCAAGCAAGAGGGGGCCCTTCCCCCGGGCCCGGCCTGACGAGACGGGCGTGTCCGGCGCAAGCGAATCCGAGCCGCGTGCCGCCCAGCAGGCGGGCGGCAAGGGAATGGCACAGGGTGGGGGGCGGGAGGAGGGCGACGGCCCGTGACGAATGGCCGCCCACGAAGACGCCGCATGGCACGGCCAAGTGGCCCACCCTTAGGATTGTCCCATGGAAGGCCGTCAGCCGGGCCGGCAGCAGGAGCAGGGGCGAGAGGGACGTGTGCTCTTCCGATCTAGGAGGGCGACGGCCCGTGACGAATGGCCGCCCACGAAGACGCCGCATGGCACGGCCAAGTGGCCCACCCTTAGGATTGTCCCATGGAAGGCCGTCAGCCGGGCCGGCAGCAGGAGCAGGGGCGAGAGGGGACCCGACAGGGAGCGGCGGCCCCACAGAGGCTCCTCTCGGGGCCGGGCGCGCCCGAGAGGGGCGAGGGCGCCAGGATGTTGGGCATGTGACCCGTCGGAGGCCGGGCGCGCCCGAGAGGGGCGAGGGCGCCAGGATGTTGGGCATGTGACCCGTCGGAGGTCAGACCCCAGCTCTCCGGGTGATCAGCCCCCCCGGTGGCGCGGTTGTCCGGACCGAACACCACGCGAAAGGCCGCTGGGCCCGGGTTGCGGGCACCGGACAAAGCGGCATCGCTGCCGGCCGCACCGCCACCGAAACAGGCAGGGACACACACAGCTACCCCCGCCCGGCGTGCGCGGAGCGGCCTCTCCCAGGCTGGGCGGCGTGCTACGGCATGTCAGCAGGCCGCGCTGTCCGCCTGGCATGAGACCAGCTGGCGGGGGGTGCGAGGCCCTTTGCTCGTCGGACTCCCTCGCCCGGCCCTCGAATGGGCAGGAGAGTCTTCGCCACACAGAGGCCCCGCGCGCCGGGTGGATGGGCCGGCTGCCCTGCGGAGCGCCGGCCGGATGTATTTACGTTCTCCAGTCCCAGAAGGTGGTCGCCATTCGCCGCACGCCCCTCGGCCGCAGGAGCCCGGGGGATCTGGAGTGCGACTCGCCTCTGGTGGCCCTGTCTGCCGTCGGGGCCGGGCGGTGTGCCGATCAAATAGAAAGACACCTCGCCCCCCGGGAGAGGGCGCACTCGCCACGCACATCGGCATCCGTGGACCGGCTGACCGCAACGCCGGCCGGCTGTGCGGCCGCACATCGGCGCGTGCAGCATAGCAGCAAGGGGCGAGACACCGGGAGATGGGCATGGGTATGCCGGTCCCCGTGCGCGTGCCAGGGGCGGACCGCCGGCCACGGACCAGGGGCAAGGCCCGCCATGGCGTCCGGCCGGCACACCCGCCAGCCCGGCGCCCGTGGGCGCGACCCGTCCGCGCCGGCTCGCCGCGAGCGCTGGCCGCCGCCGCCACCCGGTGGCTTGTTGTCGGTGCGGGTGCCCTCCTCGGAGGAGGCCGAGGCACAGGGGTCGGCAGACCCGCCGGCGGCCGGGGAGCCTCGCCCGGCGCCATGGCTTCGGACTGCTGCACACCGCCCGGCGGGAGCCCGCCCGTGACACTGGCGAGGAGGGCCGGCAAGGTGGCTGGCCAAGCTCATGGGCGCGGGCTGCGCGATGTCCCGGCTGCGCATGCGCACGCGCCTCATGCGTGCCATTGAGAACCGCCGGCAAGGTGCCCGGGCCCCTCTGGGGCGGCGTGTCGCCGAACGCGACTGTCTGGCTCCGGCCGCCGGCCGGGGGTGGCCGGCATCGGCGCCAGCCTCGGACATGCATGTGAGGCGGCCCCATGGCACAAGTGTCGTGTGCACCGGGCGGGCGGTCCCGTGGAGGCCTCGCGCATCGGGGGACAGGCCGAGGGACCAGGAGGATGCCGGGAGAAACGAAAAGATGCCTCGCGCGCGCTCGCACACCTCCTCCGCCCCTGTCGCTCCGTGCGTCCCCCTGCCCTGGCAGTCTGGAGGTCGATCGAAGGGCGCCCGGCACATTGGCCGCCGAGTGGCTGGTGCCGAGAATAGCCGGGCTCGGCGCCTGGCGGCATGGCACGAGAGCGCGGCCATGGCGGCCCCCCCGGGGGCCGAGGCGCGCCCAGATCGCGGCCGGGCCTTCGGAGTCCCGGATTCGCCCGGCCCCAGGGCGCATCCAGCCATGCCGGGCCCTGCGTGCCGTCTCGCGGCCGCACAAGAGGCCGGCAGCCCACCGTGGGTGTCTGTCTTGGGGCCATGGCTTGCAGCACGGCCGGACAGCATCGGACACCGCTCGGGGGGATTGCCGGCCGCGCCAGGCCGGACCATCGCACAGCCACACTTGCCGCACGCAGGCACGCCTCGGCGTGTGGCCGCCATGCCGGTCGGGGACACGACCGGGGGGACGGGGAAGGGGGGGGGGGGGTCCATCTGCCGCAGGGCCGCTGACGCCTGGTGCCTGCCCTTCGTCAGTGGGCCGGCCGGCCGGCCGGTCGATGTCACCATCATCGAGCCCACATGCGCCCGGGGCCGAAGGGACGGCCCCCCGAGGGACATGCCCTGGCGCATGCCGACTCGTCCCCCCCCCCTCCGGAAGGGCAAATCAAAAGAGCGCCGGCATCCGGGCCAACGGGGTGGCCGTCCATTCGGCCCCCGGAACGGCCGACGCCACATGGCGGCGCCAGGTACACGGCTGTCCGCTGCCCGGGGACTTCCGGCGGCTGGTGCCGACTGCTCGCCGCCAGCCGGCCGATGTGTGGATTGCATGCCAGGAGCCGACAGGCCAATCAAGTTCCCTGGTGATGGAAGGACCACACGCGTGCCGGGCACGCCCGGTCGCAGCCGACCATCCGGCGGCGCGCGCTCCCCCCTCGGGACCCTTGCCCTCATGTGGGGCACGGCGGCGGAATCGGCCGTTCGGCGTGAGACACACCGGAAGGCAGGCTGCTGTCGCCGAGGCTGGCCGGATGCCCAGCACGGGGATACCACCCCGGCGGGGGAGGGGGCGGAAAAGCGCCGAAAAAGACACGGACACGAGCAGAGAAAGTGAATGGCGGATGCCGAGAGAGAGAGAGAGAGAGAGAGAGGGAGGGAGGGAGGGAGGGAGGGAAGACCAGCAGGGCCAGGGCAAGGCCCACGCGCTTGGCCTGCCATACATACATGCACAGATACACACATGCACACGGGCAAGTCAGGCACAGGATGCGTCGGGAAGGGGAACAACGAGGAGAGGCCCGGCGAGGCAGGACGTCGGGAGAGGCCAATGCCGGGAGTGATGTGCCTTGGCGGGGGCGGCTGCCAAAGGGCTGCGCTGTGTTCGGCACGCGGCTGCCGGCCTCCGGCGGCCCGGGCGCCGGTCGGACAGCCGGCCGCCCAGGCCCCGATGCATGGACAGGCGCCAGGCGAGGCCCACCGAACAGGGGACCGCGGCCCGAGCGCAGCCGCCACGGCTCCAGCCACTGGCGCCTGCCAGGTGGCAAAGCGCCCAGGGCGCCCGGCCAACGGGCAGGGGCCACCAGCGGCGGGCGCCGGCGCCAGATTGGCCTCGCCCGAGGGGACGCGGCCGCCAGGACGGGTCTCCATGGCCCGGGGGCGTCTGCTCCGCTTGCGCCGGGCGGCCACCGGCCCGGCGCCATCGGGCAGGAGCCGGCGCCTGGGCCAGGCCCGGCCCCCAATAATATATCGCCGTCCCGCGAGATCACCCAGGTCTGTGGACCGCGTTGTGCCGGTCGCCGGGACCCGCCCGGCGCACATCCCCCATGATCA